CGCTCTTAGGTTGGAGGTCATCGCTACTAGGTTGGAGGCCACTACTACTATATAGTAGCAGTAGCAAGGACGTTATTAGGGTGGAAGACTCTCGCCTTCGGCGCTCCGGCGGCGCTTGGCTGCTGAAGAATTGACTTCTCCGGGCTCACGGCCTGCCGTTTCGAGGTCTCCGGTCGACCGATGGATGGGTCTCAAACAGACTGGCCAAGGAGAAAACGGTTCACTTGATCTGCCCGGGCTAAATTCACCCGAGTTTCCACATCTACAAAGCTCCAAGTGATCTTTTCCTCAATGTTTGCTGTATACGTTTATCTTTGACGGCTTAGCTCTCTCTTGGCCAAGCGCAGGGTGCACTACTTCAAACTGTGCTTTGTGCACATTTGCAAAATGCATAAATGCGTTTAAATTAACTTGCAAACTCTCGCACCAATGCCTACAAATGTGCATTGTTGTTGCGTTTTTGCACTGTTCACAACATTCCGTCACTGTGCGATGCGAGGGGCGGTTGGTCCAGCTGACCATGTGCCGGCCTGTTTTGGCTTGCAGGCCCCTGTGTTGGCTTGGAAGCCACTGTGCAAGGCCGGACAGCCAGCTGAACGACAGCTCACTTTGCACACCCCTGCTTGCCGCGTAGGGGCTGAAACTGAAGCACTTGCTGCTGGGCCATCTGCTGGTATTGAGCCTGCTGAAGCTGCCTCTCGAGCATTTCAAGCAACGAGGCAATGCTGGCCTTTTTCCCTGGAGCAGATGCAATACGATTGTAGAGAACCTTCATCTCCTCTGGTCCACGGCTATACTCAACCAAACTATTGGCCACATACTTTCCAAACCTATCGTCCATCAGCTGCACTAGTGGAGAGGATCGATCCGAGGGATCCACTCGATCAGGGCCAAGCACTGCACGGATGAGCCGTTGACGCTCCTCTTTCAGGAACGACGCGTGTTCCCCCCGTAGTCGATGCTTCAAAACACTTCTCCACCACGTTGCTCGCATGCTTGTCTTTGCCAAGCTCCAGCACGTGGTTGCAAACCTCATTGACAATGCTCTTTTTGTGTTCTGGATTCCCATGCTCGAGAATGTGACGAATCACATAGTTGCCATATGGATCGGTAGACAGCTTTCGGATACTTCGAAGAATCTGCCGCAACATCCTCTCCAAGCGCTTTGGTGTGCAGTGCTCCAGAAGACGTTGGATGATGCGGCAGCCATAGATGTGCGCTGCCATGGCCTCCGCCTTGTCCTCCACAGCTTCCACTACAAAGGACACCGATTCTGGAGGCATCTGTTCAATGCATTTCTGGACAACATGATTGCCATGCATGCTCTTGATGCAGTCAAGAACTCCATGCTTGAGCTCTCCAGCAAGCATGGATTGAAGTTCTGGTGGGCAAACTTGAAATGCCTTCTGGATGACGCGACAACCGTGCATTTTCAGAGACAGCTTCACGACGGACTGGCGGAATCTCTCTACAATGGCACGGCGCTGATCAGGAGTGCAAATGTCCAATAATTTCTGGACCACGGCACTTCCGGAAGAATCACCAGCCAGCATTTCCATCTTTGGGAGTAGTGCTTCGAAGACTTCTCTGCGCTCAGCGGTGTTTGCCGTCTCCAACTTGGCCTGCAGAAAGCGGCTGCCCTCGGTGTCTTGGGCCAACTCCGCAACATGCGATAGAACGTCTCGCAAAAGCACCTGGCTCTTTGCTCCATCACGCCGAACCTCTGCCAAGGCGCCCAGGACAGCAGTGTCGCCAATGAGTTCACCTACGGCAAGTGGTGCAGTCGTGGTGGATTCAAATTCCTTCTTTCCTTTGCGGCCGCTTCGTTTTTTGGCCTGAGGAGCAGTCTCCATCTCACTGGAACTTGGTTTGGCGCTTTCAGCGGACTGCGTCCCTGCCGGCAGCGATGCACCGCCTGCACCCATGTTCACAACTCCCCATGCGCCAGGCAGCACGCTACCTCCAACCATGCTAGGATCCAAAGGATAAATCCATGGATAGAATGCTGGCATTGCCCCAGGAAGAGCTGCCACAGCAGGCATCGCCGCACTTGTCTTTGTTGGCGCACCCGCAGTGGGGTCCAACATCCGACCCGTGAGCAGGTTTGGCAGCTGAGCCTGAGGCTGCGGTGTTTGGCAACCTTGGCCCTGAAGAGCTTGTTGGAGCAGGAGCGTCTGAAGGTGTTGAGTTGGCAACTGGTCCGTCTTCTGGTTGAGTTGCTGCAACAGCTGCTGCTGTTGGTGGCTCAAGGGCTGCATTGACACTTGTTGCCCCAAGTTTCCGATGGGGACATGCATTGGCATCTGCTCAAAGCCCTCTGTCGGGGCCATCGCAAGCTCCATGGCTCCCCAAGTTTCACTAAGACCGGCGTCTGCGGTTCCCAAATTAAGCCAAGAAAAATGCTTCTTGAGCCTTATGTATGCATGTATGGATGGATGGACGGACGGACGTATGTATACTGTATGTGTCCTGTCTATGAAAAGCTTGCATGTGAATGAGTTTCTATGCATTGTTGGACATTTTTTTCTGTTGGTGTGTTTCTTTGCTGGTTGACACCAAGCGATTGATCTGTTGCATGTCTTACATGACTAGATTAAAGGATGTGCCAAGAGCTACTCTTCTGGGAATCAAGTGTGAGAATTTGCAAATGCAGTCACTGCGAGACATAGCACATAAATCCTTATGATCATACTGATCACATGGGACACGACCACTCAAATGGGTCAAATTCTCTTGTTACTAGTAGTGAGGCCAGGAGCTACTAGTAGAGTCCTTGCTCCTAGTGGCGATGCCCCTTATTCCTAGTAGCATCCTTGCGAATTACTAGTGCTACTATGTGCTACTAGTCACAAGTAGTAAGTGAGAACTGTCTGGGACATCTCTCCAGTTCCGGATCCGCGCCTTGCTTTGGCCCTCGGGGGGGCAGACCTGTCGGCCCGTCAGCCAAGGTGCGGCATCGACAAACGGGCACACCAACCAACTCACAAGAAAATTGGAAAACCGACCACAAAACTTGCATTGTGGGATATTGTGGGTGGTGGGCATGAGCTTTTCTATCCTGTAGAACTCTATGAAACAAACATTCTGCATGGGGGGGCAGTCAGGCTTGAGGCTGTGGTTTATCTCTGCCACCCTCAGCAATCTAAACTGGACGACAACTGCAAAGCAGCAGGAAGGACGCTACTAGGGTGGAGGCCACTACTACTAGGAACAAGGACGCTACTAGGGTTTTGTGGCATCGCTACTAGTAGCAAGGACGCTACTAGTAACTTCCCCTTTTAGAGTTCCTGCCCTGCCTGGCTCGGCGTCGTTCGCCTCTCAGACTCGCGGTCTTTCCACGGGGGAGATGCCGATTTGGAAACCTGTTGGATCGAAGTGTCTACAAAACGATTCCAAAGGTCTAAATGTAACAAAGAACAGAAACATAAAAGAACACATCCAGCAAAGGCCTTCGTATACCCTTCTGTCTTTTCTTTGTTTAAACGACATCTTTTTTTTTGTCGCTTATCCACTTGTCTTATCCAACAAACTCTTCGATTGAGCAGTCTTGGTGAGCAATGATCGGAGCAATCACCGGCCCTCCGAACGTACTGTTTAGGAAACTTATTGTTATGATGATGATTATCATTCTTGTAGTTGTGGTGTGACACATAACATAATATTATATGATATATAATGGTGGCGATGGTGAAAGCAGGTCGGAGAATGGATGAGGATGGTGCAAGGTACAAAACCGAAAATGACTACACTACACCAGCAAAGTTTGGTGTCGAAAGGCCCAAGGAAAAGCTGGTGTATGACTACCCCGCTGTGAATCAGCACTGTCACATACTGTCATAGCTTGGTGGGGTGCATTTGGGTGCTTTAGAGCCGCCCAGTGTGGCTGGTTTCCTGCAGAACATCGAGAAAAAATGCTTGACCAGCAACTGGACCCCACCTGAGCTGTAACACTGTTGAAAGATCCTTGACAGCAGTTGAATATAGCAACTGATACGATCACTGAGATGCCTCCAAAAACATCTGCAACTGCGGACATGTGTGTGATTTCCTGAGCTTGCTACAAGCTCTTCAGGCTTTGTTAAGGGAGAGATTCCCAAATATTCAAAGGTTGTGCTTTGTGAACATCCCCAGGTAGACCATTTTGTGCATTATCGAAATGTTCAATAGGAGTACACTAGGATGCCAAGTCTTTGGGGAGGGCCGTCCACAACTCCCTTGTCAAGCCAAGAAAGAGCTCTTAACGACGAAGATTTGAAGATCACCTTCCGGCACCAAGAAGCTACTAGTAACAAGTGCATCACTACTAGTAACAAGGGCATTACTACTAGTAGCTTCTTGCTACTAGTAGTAAGGCCAGGAGCCCCTAGCAGCGATGCCCTTTGCTCCTAGAGGCGCGATTCCCTTTCATCTTCTGGCACCTTTCTCATCTTGCTGCTTTGGAAGACGTATGCCCATCGCTGACAACTCCAAGCGAGGCACGCCGCACTCTTCGAACCTCGTCGACCCGATCCGGACGGCTCCGAGGCGCGACGAACGGACGTTGGCGTTGTCACGCCGCGGACCAGTGCTTTCCTTTTTTTCTTTCTCAACGAAGGTCGTGACATTTGCATCGTTTTCATTGCGCTAAACTTCATGAGATCGCATGAGGAACTTCAGCAACTTCAGTTGCAGGTTGAAGGGCTCCATCGAAACTTTGATGTCTCTCATTTTCAGTCAGCCGTTGCAGCAATGCCTCATGTTTGATGACTTTGGGAGCAACCTCTCGCAGTTGTTCCAACAAAGCTGCAATCTTTTGCGTCACTGACTCCTCAGGACCTGGTGTCGCTGCTGGCACCGTTGGGGGCGAACCCTGCAGGTGGCTTTCCACTTCGGCCAGTTTGCGAAGGCCGCTAGCAAGCTCTTGCTGGCAAATCTCCAAATCCAAGTGCTGACGCTGCTCCAAACTTCGAATCTGATCTTGTAGCTCACCGCGCCACAGCTGAAGCTCCAAATTGACATCGGCCATTCGCATCTCTAGCAAGGCCATAGCGCTCTCCTGTGTGGCCAACTGTGCTGATATCGCAGGGCTGGGAGCAGCTATCAGATCTTCAGCATCTTCCATCTGGGAGACACGAGCATGGAGATTGACCAGGCTTTGATTCACATCCTCCGCAACAGCAGTTCGCTCATCGATCCACGATTCCACCCGGAGCAAGCGCCGAGACAGGCGGCTGATGATGTCTTCGCTGGAGGAAGAGGACAATCGAGCAAGGGATTCCATCTGTTGACAGCGCTGCTCCAAGTCAGCAAACTTCTTTTGCATGGCTTCCTCGAGCTCTTGCTTCCATGTCCTCGACTGTGCCACAGCCAACCAACGATTCATGTTTTACACTTCAAGAACGCTGACCTGACAGAATGGAAACGGGGTTTTCCTTCTGAGTCTTGTGAATATATTGAATGACCAATGGATCCATTGATCTCTCAGCAGGAACCACCCCACTCAAAACCCAAACTAAGGGGTGTCCCTTCAATTTAGGCCTTGAACGGGTGGCTCTCCTTCTTATTCCGACTCACAGGCTATATATAGTATATACCTGTTATATCTTCCAACCAACTATGCAAAAGTTCGGCCTTTTGAATGTTGCACACTTGGAATATATTATCTTTAGGATAGCGGATAGCATCTAGATAAACCTATATGTGTCCATATGTTAAATCCCCGCCTCAGGCGATCATCCATCTGCTCCACTCGTCGCATCTGAAGCTCCATTTCACTGGACAGGCCTTGATAGCTTCCCGCCAGCTCGGCCAGGCGCCGATCGAACCTCGTTGCCTCGGCTCCGCACAGCTTCGCACGACTCGCCTCGTCACGCAGCGTCTCGTTCTGTTGTTGCACCTTGGAGTGGACCAGACGAAGCGAAGGAATAAAGACATGTTCCGGAGAAGAGGATTCATCCTGGGAAAATACACATTTTATCAACACTTGAGAGGAGGGAGACACGAAAGGTAGGACAGCGGGAAGAGAAGAAAACGCGAGAGGCAGGAACAAAAATGCAATGTTCGACATGGTGATTTATCCCCTCGGAGGCGACCTTTCGTAAATATATGTTCATATGCACTCTAAATGTTCAAACATATGCTCTCGAAATGTTCAAAAAGGTTCTTAGGAAAACAAACTTGCCCCATGGCTCAGATCATCGGTGAGCATTGAATCGGAACATCATAGGATTTGTCCTGAAACCATAAGAGGCTCACGAAGACGCTCCCCAGGAGAGAATTGACGTGCTTCACAAAACAAACTCTAGGTATGTATCCCCTCGGGGAACACCTTTCGTGATTAGAATTTCATATTCACTCTTTCTAAAATGTTCAAGAGGGTTTCAACTATCCTGAAATCATGAGAGGCTCACGAAGACGTTCTCCAGGAGAGAATTGATTTTAGAGGGGGGAGGGGGGGGGGGG